TGAGGTTTTTTGTCACTATTGCTATCTGCTAAATTCCTTATACAAATTTTGCAATAAACGATTTGAGAATTTGTTTCGCATTCTTGAAAAAAAAAACTAGTATGACTTTGATTAATTCGTGGCTTATTTTTTTTTAGAGATTCAGTAGTATTTGTAAGTGAAGAGTCAGAAAGCTGACTATTATTTGATGAATTAAAAGATTCTGAAAAGGACAGTTTCTGAATAAAAAAACAATGTTTCTATTTTTTATTTTATTTTTGTCAAAAAGCAATAAATGACAAAGATACAATTGATATTATTAATACATAAATGAGATAATTATATTATTGCTTTATTACATAGAATAATACACACATATGACATTTATTGTCACTTTATTACATAGAATAATATACATACATATGATATAAATTATCATTTTATTACAGTAAATGATATACACACATATGACATATTTCAAAATTGTAATAAAACCGAATATTTAAATTTGAAACTAGTTTATCAGAGTTTTATAACCGGATTATAATATTACAGAACCGATTTAATATTAAACCGGTTTAACCTAAATTTCAAGTTGAATTACATCAACCGGTTCCAACCTCTACTACGACAAATCTATTTAATATCTGATATATTCCCTGGATCCTAACGTCCTGTAATTTTTTCACTGATATTTTCTCTTTTCAAACCTTTCTTTACATTACTTTTTATTTACACATACTTCCTTTTACATATAGTTTTAATAAATAAAAATGTCAAATCCAAAAAAAAAAAAGAATTTCATAATATACTAGTTCCTATTTTTACTAGTGCATGCACTTATATTCCAGATACTTCTTCTAAAGATCTAGATACTTCTTCTGAAGATAGTATTGTTACAAATACTTCAAAATCAGAACTTAAACAAAAATTAGAGTTTTATAAAAAAAAGCCACTGTTCCAAATACAAAAGGAGCTACACAAAATTAGATGGATAAGTTTGAAAAATTTCGTCGCAATTATAACTATGTTACATCAATTGAAAGTATTGCTAATTCTTATCTTATTGAACATCAAGTATGTGAATATATTGCACAAATAGCAAAAAAAGATGGTAGAGAATATAAGGATAAAACTGTTCAACAAGTAGTTAATAGAATCAATAGATATCTTGTTAAACATGGATCTGTTCAGGGTTTAAATTTGCATAATAAATATCAGTTTCCTAACTTGTATGATGTTGTAAATAGTAAGATAAAAGATTTGCAAAAAAAAAGAATTAGATGAAAAAGAAAGTTCAGTCGCATTAATAGCTTAACAGGTTAAAGAAATTTTCAATGATGAATTTTTAAATCTTAATACACCTGAAGGCTTGTTATATAGAGTTTTTTTTCACATTTTAATGATTTTTGCTTGCTAGGGTGGTGAGTATTGTACTTTTCAGATTAACTAATTTCAAATTCAATCTGATAGTAGCATTCTATTTTATCATTATCATAGCAAAAATAATCAATGTGGAATTCTTGGAGGTGCTGCGCAAAATATACACTTACTACCTGATTTATCTAGAATAACTGGGCTTGTTAGTGACATTGTGAAATATATTTCAAAGTATCCCTCAGATGCTTCAAGTAATTTTTATTTACATTATAATCAGGATTGGTGATTACTAGTATTTGATATCACAAGAAATATTGTGAAATTAATAAAGTTCAAAATTTTATGGAGGATATTAGAAATAAAGTTAAAGTACAACTTCTTAATGGAATTTAGACAAATTATTTTGGTAGGAAGACTGCTACCCAAATTCTTCAAAATGCTGATATCTCTAAAGATACAATTATAAATATTACCAGATATAAAAATACTCAAGGTGTATATATATACAAAATGTTAATGAGCAACAACATATTAATACAATGAATACTTTGATTAGAACAATAGAACCATTAGCTGATTCAACAAATGGGGTGAAGTCAATAGAAATGGGACAAATTTATCTAATAAATTTGTCCCATTTCTATTGACTCCACCCCAAATATTACTACTCAAGATCCTTTCATAGTACTTACCGAAACTACCAAATCTTATATAAATGTGAATATATTTTCTTTACAAAATACAGCACATATTAATCAGAGTCATATAGCTGATGATTTACAAAATCAGCTACCAATTTTTAAAAATTGCCACTTTTCTAATATTATATTCAATTTATAATTTCTTTCAATCATATAGCTATTTTCATTATTGTAATTAAATTTATATTGCCTTGTCTTATAGCTTGTATATATTTTCTAAAGATTTAAATACTTTAAATATTATATTCGCAAATTCTATTTCTTGTAAGCTTTGACAATCTAATACCTTATATTTGCAATTTTACTCTTATTATAATAAATGTAGTTTCACCGTTAGTTAAAAAAATAAATTAAAATTTTTTTATGTGATATTATCATGTGTAATATTTATCGATATCTTTATAGATGATCACTCTTAATAAAATTTAAATTCAGATAGTTCTGAGTATGAAAATATTAGTAAACATTATCACAGATGACCATTAGAAGATATGGAATATATTTTAAATAAATAATATATATTGTTTAAAGTGTTTTTAAATAAATAATATATTGTTTAACATGTTTTTAAATGCATTATTCAATTAATTGATAATCTGCCAGTCAACAGAAGAATAAACATAGTGTAACATAATGCAAATCACTATGTAAATCCAATATAGTGTGAATCTGAAA